GAAGCCAGCCTTTGCCAAATTCTCAACATGTTATAAAAAACTTGCCTACGGAAGTTCCTCAGAGTCCTGAAGTGTGCTCATCTGAACTAAAAGACTCAACTAAAGGCTTTCATCAGCTCTGGCCAAACATTAGTGAAAATTTAAACACAATTGGAAATTTCTGTGATTTGAAAGTACATACTAATATTGCACAGCCTTTTAATGAACCAGTTAGATCTTCTGTGGATAGTGTTCAGACTCCTGCTCAAAATAATCAAGAGAAAAGAATGGATTCCTGCAATCCAGCTTCAAATCAGGTACTAGACACAAAAGAAAAGTTAGTGAGAGATATTAAATCATTGGTAGAAATTAAAAAGAAATTTTCAGAACTTTCAAGGAAAATTAGAATTAATAAAAATCTTCTAATGGGTTATAGGAAAACAGCAAATAGCTCTTGTAGTGAACCAGCTCAGCCTTCTGAATTCTCAACCCAAGGAATATCTGCTAAAAGTGGCAGTCACTGTTCCATGGAATTGCTAACAACATGTCTTAATCTTTGGAAGAAGACACCAACAACAGCAACAGAAGAAGCTTCAAAACCTTCAAAGGAAAAGCAGTGTAATGAATTAAAAACAAACACAACTGCGCATGGAATTTCAATGACCACAGAGGGTGATGAGAAGGGGTTTTGTTCAGTTGAAGGAAATTCTCAGAATAAAAGGGCAGAGTCATCCCAGGAAACAACCTTGACAATGATAACACAAAATTATGACTCTTCTGGTGCAAATGTAACCAAGGGCTCAGAACTTCAGATTGCTATTGTGTCACCCTTGATTCTTTCAAATGTCAGATCATTGCCTCACAAAAGAATGACACCTGAAGCTTTACCTGAACTGGTGTATCCAGTTATCAAAGAAGGTAGTATTTGTAGCTTACAAAGTCAAATGGAAAAAAATAAAATAGTGGATGCTTCAGTGAACATCAATGTTAACAGTCCAGTAGCCAATACTACAATATCAACCAATGCTTTTCCACTAACTCAGAAGGAAAAGCGGAATAAGCCAACTAGTGGTAATTCAGAACACACGCCTAATACCAGTCAAGGAAAGCACTGTCCTCTGGGTGATCAGCAAGCCTCATATAAATCAAACAGCATTTCTGTTGAGAGTGATGATGTATTACTGATTGAAAATATTTGTTCTCTTGTTGAAGGCGATATAACTTATAATTCTCAAATAGCAAAGATATTCAACTCTTCCCCTTTGGAAAAGATCGACCCACAGAAACTCTCTTCATCCTATCAGCAAGTGATTAATAGCAGTCAACAAAAAGAACAAGTAGATAATACCACTACAAATAAGGACCTTGGTTTTCAAAGAGATGAATGTGTGCAGTGCACAGATGTTCCTCATGAAACAGTTGATCATTCCGAGTCACTGGAACCTCCAGGGTCGTTATCTTTTAAGTATATTGAAACAAACAGAGGAATTCCAGAGGAAAGCAATTTAGAACAAACCATTGAAAAGGAAAGCACAGGTGAAGATGTATGTTGTTCACCTCCCACGATTCAGCAGAGTATTTACCCTCAAGAAATCAAGGCAGCCAGTGATGTCACTACCCAAGATCCTGCAAGAAAGGAGATTCATGATGATGACACACCCATGTTTTATCTACATGACCAGCTCTCAGAACTTCTAAAAGAGTTTCCCTATGGCATTGAAGCTGTGAACTTATGTGAAAAGTCTGGGGGCCAAAAAGTAACAGGTCAAATCTCACAAGATCAAACTGGCGATAAAACTATTTGTAATTCTCAGGACTCCACAGACCAAATACAAATTACCATATTAAGCTCAGAACAAATGAAAGAATTATTTCCCGAAGATGGTGAACCCTGTGATGTAGACACAGAGGAAGCCTGTGAGGTAGATAAGTTGGCAGAATCTCAGACAGAGAAGCCTATAGCAGAAAGGAGCCTGTCTGTCCCACAAGCAACTACCTCAGAAGCCAGTTGTGATTCTACAACATGGGACCCAGAAAAAGATAAAATCCATTGCTGTGCATTGGGTTGGCTCACAACGGTCTATGAAGGAGTGCCTCAATGCCAGTGTAATTCCATCAAGAGTTCCACCCCAGAGGAAGAGAAAGGGAAGGATCACTGTTCTCCTTTGGAGACCAAGAGTTGTAAACAAGGAGAGACAACCTCAGAAAGTGATATCACTATCCTTGAATTTAATGTTTCAGATAATCCAAAGACAACTCTTACTCTGGTGGCTGAGAAAAAAAATTTTCCTGAAATATGTGGTGAGAGTATAAAAAATACATCTGAAACAAAGAACTGCTCGCTAAGGACAGAACAGGAATTGCCTGGTCAGTTCTCTAAATGTGATGGCGATAAAAAGGACACATCTAAAGCGAAACAGGACAGCTCCCTAAAAGAAAAAGAATTGAATTGTCAATTTTCACCAAAAGGCAACAAACTAGATGGCTTGCAAAGTAATACAAGAAAAAGAAAATTGAAATTTCATGAAGTGTCTTTTCACTTGACTAATAAAATGACAATGGTTTGTGAAGAAGCTTCCCAGGTAAACCAGCAGGAGAAACACATACCACAGAACTCTCATCCACTCCAAGTGAAAACTAAAGAGCTACATAGGAGGAATGGTTCTTTGGGACATTCATTATCACCAGAAAAGAAAAAATTTAAGTTTAGGGTAGGTACCTCCAAACAAAGACATACAGAAGAAAGAAAGTTAGACCAAGGGAACATACTGGATGGGGAGATAAACAAGGAAAAATCTGATAAACAGGAACAGAAGAAAAATGTGGGAGGTGCACTCAAATTCTGTAATATTTTGTCAAACCCTAACGAGAGAGACAGTGTTAAAGAAAACACAAAGTCCTCAGACTTGAAGCATAATTCATCTAAGAAAATCATAACACCGCAGGAATATTTACAAAGGCAGAAACATAAAGAATGGATGGCCAACAAAACATCAGAGAAGACATGTGTTAACAATGTACCACATGATTCTGATGGGAGGCCCAGTCAGCTTCCTGTGCAGATGGGGAACTCTGGGAAACCAAATGGGAAACCAGGCAGCAGTACAGAGGCTTCTAAAGAACCAGCAAATGTGTTGACCAGCAATGTTAAAAGCCTCAAACTCCACCATTCTGAGAAGTCTAAGAATGACAATTCAAGGAATGTTAAAGGAAGAGCTGAGCGCATGCTGCCTGACAAAGTGTGTACTGATAAAACCAAAGCTGACCAAAAATCCACCAATACAAGTAGTGAAGTTGAATTCCACCAAATGCCTCCCCAAGCAAACAAGCAAAGAAAATTGTATCTGAACAGAGTTGCGTTTAAGTGCACAGAACAGAAAAGCATTTGTCTCACCCAGTATGACAGTTCACCACCCCACAAGCTTCCGAAAGACAAAGAGCAGGAAAAGAACCCTCAGAACTCTTCTCCTGTGAAAGATACCACAGTAAAACCAAGCATGTTAGAGTTTAAATTATGTCCAGATGTACTGTTAAAGAATGAAAACTCTGTCAAAAAAGGGAATGATCAGAAGCCTCATTCTAAGGAGCAAGAGCAAGCCCCCGTGCAAGGTGAAGTATAATTTTCTTGATGTGTACAACATGATGAAGAGGTGTAGGTGATAAAAGGGCCATGTGAATGTGTTACACAGTTACTATTTGTTATTGTCAGATAATGTTTCCTTGAGCAATGTTTGTTTTAGATTTGTGGCTCCCTTATTGTAAATTATAGTAAATTCATAGTAATGACAAGAGTTACATAAAATCATAAAGTTTGCCAAATACAGATATTTCATTTACTATCAAGTTATATTGTGAGGGCTGGAGATATAGCTCAGTTGGTAGAGTGCTTGCCTCACTTGCATGAGGCCCTGGGTTTAATCCCCAGCATCACCAAAAAAAAAAAAAATTGTGAGCCAGGTGCAGTGGTGCACGCCTATAATCCCAGCCACTTGGGATAACAAGTTGGAGGCCAGTCTCAGCAACTTGGCAAGGTCCTGTCAAAATAAAAAATGAAAGGGCTGGGGATGTAGCTTAGTGATAAATTGCCCCTGGATTCAATCCCGATTGCCAAAATTAAGAAATGATAATATTATCAAATATTTTTTTGACTTATAATTTAAAAGCAGTCCTGTAAATTGAAATTTTGTTCTAAATATTGGGAGACATGTAAGGTTAGTAGGAAGGTCCTCTTGTTCATATAGAAATTGATCAATTTATTTTCATCTTTGAAACTGTCAATGACTATTTCTGTAAAGTGCAGATGGTAACATCTAATCTGCACATGAAATGGGGACCAGAAAGCAGTGTCATCCAGTAGTAACTTATGTCACTAAAGACAGAGTGGCAGCCATGAGCAGAGCAGGAATAAAGGAGAAAATGACTGACTAGTTGTTTGTACTCATTTATGTTTGAACATTCAGGAGTTGTGATTATTAACATAAAGCACTGTGCTTAGAAATCCAGATTGGAAACCTAAAGGATTTTGAGTAAAAATCTGTCTCTGCTGTGTTTTTCTGACTCTCTGTTGGGGTGTATAAAGCTTCAGCATAAACAGGGTACGTTTTCATGGAAGGTGAGAGGAATGTGTGATGAGAATACAGAATTCAATTTGTTAAATGTGGATGATTCAATAATCCATTTCATTTGGGTCCTTAGAACCTGAGGCCTTGGGTGTAGCCACATAAGTGGAAGTAGATGGGCCATGGGACTGGCTTGCCCTCTCATTTCTTTGAATACCCCAGATGTGTCTGTGTTTCAGCCCCCATAGGGAAACGAATACAGAATGTAAAGAGAAACTTTTATTAAAAATAGCTAATTTTTCATTGGAGGTATTCAAGCACTTCATACATAATTTTTCCAGGCCCTAACGTATCTTGGTGTATTCCAAAATCTATTTTCAACTTAATGTGATATTTCTTCATTATATTACAAAAAGAGATGAATAACAATATGTAGAGATCTGAAAATAAATATTTAAATAGTTTCAGGAATAAAAAGTACAAAAGAAGATTGGATAAAATGTGTGACTGTGAAGAAAAGGAAGCAGGAAACCAGCCAAGAAACAGGTAAAATTGTCTATTAATTATATTATTTGAAACCATGTAAATTAGATTATTATTTTAATGCTTAAGAAATGATTTTATCCATATCCTTTTAGTCATTCAATGTTTTTATGAGTGGTAAGAGGGCATTCTCCACTTTTCTGTCATGCCATATAGGCTAGGAAGCTGGGGTCTATTATTTCCTTTTAAAAAAGAAAGTAAATCTCATCACTTTGAGTTAGCTAAGGGGTTTTCATATTTTTCCTATATGAGGCCATATAGTAAACGTTTTAGATATCTCAGGTTTTTAGCCTAACTGCTCAATTCTGTCATTGTACCAAGAGAGAGGCTGCAAATAATGTGCAAATAAATTAGTGGAGACTAAGTTCTTAGTAAACTCTTTACCAAAATAGACAGCAGGCTGGACTTGCCCTCAGGTCAGAGTTTCCCTCCTCTTAGGCAATTTACAAGTTAGTCATTTTAATCCTCAAAGAGGCTAGGATATTTCCATTTTAAAGATGAGACATCATTTTGGTGCCATGGACTGCATTGACCCAGACATAGCAGTTAGCACGAATGGGGATCTGATGAGCTTTTCTCTACGTGTGTCACTGAAGGACCCTTTATAATGAGCAGCAACTCTACCTCTGCAGCAAACGGAAATGATAGCAAGAAGTTCAAAGGTGACAGCAAGAGTGCCAGTGTCCAGTCCCCTGTGATCCACATCAACAAGCTGCCCAGTGAAGTCACCAAGGGCAAGGTACTCTCCCCAAACCGAGCACAAGCTGAAGTGGCCCTGCAGGCTGGGAACTCTGTCCATTCGGCGAACCTGACCTGCGCGAATCAGGGATCTGACGAGCTTTTCTCTACGTGTGTCACTGAAGGACCCTTTATAATGAGCAGCAACTCTACCTCTGCAGCAAACGGAAATGATAGCAAGAAGTTCAAAGGTGACAGCAAGAGTGCTAGTGTCCAGCCCCCTGTGATCCACATCAACAAGCTGCCCAGTGAAGTCACCAAGGGCGAGGTACTCTCCCCAAACCGAGCACAAGCTGAAGTGGTCCTGCAGGCTGGGAACTCTGTCCATTCGGCGAACCTGACCTCGGCCACAGCTGTGGATGCAGGGATGACAATAACTGGGCACAGCCCTGTGCTCAGGATCATCATAGAGAACGTCTTCTTCCCTGTGACCCTGGATGTACTGCACCAGACTTTCTCCAAGTTCGGCACAGTCCTGAAAATCATCAAGTTCATCAGCAACAACCAATCCCAGGCATTACTGCAGTACGCAGATCCTGTGAGCGCCCAGCAAGCCAAGCTGTCACTGGACAGGCAGAACATCCTTGATGGCTACTGCACACTACGCATCTACTTCTCCAAAATCACCAACCTCAAGGTCAAGTACAACAACGACAAAAGCCATGACTACACACGCCCAGACCTTCCCTCTGGGGACAGCCACCCTCCACAGGAACAGACCATGGCCACAACCTCTCTGTATGCAGGAGCTGGGTTCCCTCCAACCTTTACAATTCCTCAAGCCGTGGTTCTTTCTGATCCTAATGTGCATAGAGCCCCAGCCCTGTTGCCCACCCCAAGCCTGGCAGGGCCTGGGAACTCCATTCTGCTGGTCAGCAACCTCAATCCCAAAAGAGTCAGATTCCAAAACCTCTTTATTCTTTTCGGCCTCTATGGTGATGTGCAGCGGATAAAGATGTTCTTCAACAAGGAGAACGCGCTTGTGCAGATGACAGATGGGAACCAGGCCCTGCTGGCTATGAAGCACCTGAACGGGTTAAAGCTGCATACGAAGCCCATCCACATCATGCTGTCCAAGCATCAGAGCTTAGATCTGCCCCACGAGGTACAGGAGGGCCAGGGCCTCACCAAGGACTTCAGCAACTCTCCACTGCACCGCTTTAAGAAGCCCGACTCCAGATCCCTCCAGAACATCTTCCCGCCCTCCGCCACCCTGTTCCTCTCCAACATCCCACCTTCCCGAACAGAGGAAAACCTCAAGGTCCTGTTCTCCAGCACTGGGGGCGTGGTCAAGAGGTTCCAGTTCTTCAAAAAGAACCGTAAGCTGGCGCTGATCCAGATGGGCTCCGTGGAGGAGGCAGTGCATGCGCTCATCAACCTGCATAATCTTTACCTGGACAAGAAGCACCATCTGTGGGTCTCTTTTTCCAAGTTCACGTCTTTGGCTGGGCTCCCTGGAGCCACTTCCATCATTCCAAAAAAAAGCCATATTAAGAAGAAGCAGCTGAAGTGACCCTAACAGACCAGAGATTTTATTGTTCTAAAGAGAGAAGTCAGTTTACTTTTTTAAAAAATAAACTTAATCTAGCTCACCTTGCTGACAAAGAAACATGAGCCATTACTGGCTCAGGCTGTAGCTCAGTGGTGAATGACTTGCCTAGCATATATAAGCACCTGTTGTCCCAGCAACACAGGAGACCAAGGCAGGAAGATCCCAGGTTCCCGGCCACCCTCAAGGACTTGGCAAGACCCTGTCTCAAAATAAAAAGGGCTGAGATTAAATGCACTCCTGCACACACACACACACACACACACACACACAATAAAAAGTCACATCCATACAAAATGTACATTGAATGTGGATCTTTTGGGGTTTTTTTGTTGTTGTTTTTTGGTACTAGAGATTGAACTCAGGGGCACTCGACCAGCCCTTTTTTGTATTTTATTTAGAGATGGGGTCTCACTGAGTTGCATAGAATCTCACTGTTGCTGTGGCTGGCTTTGAACCCATGATCCTCCTGCCTCAGCCTCCTGAGCTGCTGTTGTGTGCCACAGTGCCCAGTTGAATGACTTTATTAAGCCAGGATAAAGGTAAAGGGAACCCAGCCCTGGGCCATGAAAATGGGGTTGACAGGAGGAAACACGAAAGGCAAGAGCTCATGTGTATACGCTTCATTAACTCTTTTCCTAACATTTTTGTCCCATTGATAAATGTATAATTTTCTTCAATTTTTTGATTGTATATTGGTCATGTATGAAGAGTAACAAAGAAAATAAAGTAACATTTCTGTTTCTTTAGATGAGACTAATTTAAGACTTTGCAAGAGAAGCTTCAGTGCAGATGGATTTGAGAAAGTACCAAACCCTATAAAAGATTCAGTGTTTCAGACCTACAAACAGATGTACCTGGAGAAAAGAAGCAGAAGCCTTGGTAGCAGCCCTGTAAAGTAATCCCAAGATGTGGTTTTATAATTGCCACTAGGAAGTTCTGTTTACTTTCTGTTCAGCATCTTGCTGGAAATAACTCAGGATTGCTTCCACAATAAAGATTTCTCATCCAGAGAGTTTGGTTACCAGTTATGTTTCATTTATACTGCTTAATTAAAATGGCTTGACAACTTTGTGAGTTAAGAGACATAAGAAATGGATGATATTTGTCAGTGAAGCTATAAGGTGTTTGATCCTAGACATTGTTGAACCACAATGATTATTTAAGAAGGCTTGTACAAATGCTACCTGTCCATCCTGAGGGATGACTGTTCCTCAGCTGAGGGCTTGTTTATTTAACTTGGACTGTACATATTTCTGTTTCTAAGCTACATTAGCAAAACTTATTTTTCAAAAACACTCACTGTGAATGTCAATATATTCTTAAGTATTTTATACCTAATTGTAAACTTTTCATTTCTTGTTTTATACTGGTTAAAGCTGACCATAATTTTTGCATAATGTCTTAATGTTACTTTTCATACTTGAAATAAACATTTATTTTTTAAAAAAAAAAAGTCACCATAGTTTTGTTACTTTGTTTCCTAACCTCACAGAAGGACATATTTTGGGAAGGTTTTTAAAATGCTACACCAGGGCTAGTGACACACCTGTAATCCCTGTGATTTGGGAGGCTGAGACAGGAGGATTGTAAGTTTGAGGCCAGCCTCAGCAAATTAGGTCCTCCACAACTTGTTGACCCTGTCTCAAAAAATAATGACAGGGACTGGAGATGTAGCTCTGGTGGTAGAGCACTTCCCAAGTGGTAGAGCCCTTGAGTTCAGTAACTGGTATCAAAAGGAAAATTCTTCAGTGGTTATATAATAGTGTTTCAGAAGCAAGTATAATAATGATGTCTAACTCATTCCACCATCATTTCCTCTTTCCTCCCCTTTGCCCTATCTAAAGTTTCTTCACCTCCCATGCTCCCCTCCATCACCATTATGAGTCAGCATCCTCATATCAAAGAAACATTCGGCCTTTGGTTTTTTGGGATTGGCTTGCTTTACTTAGCATTATATTCTCCAACTCCATCCATTTACCTGCAAATACTCAATGTTCCACTGTGTATATATACCAAAGCTTTCCTATCCATCTACTGAAGGGCGTCTGGGTTGGTTCCATAATTTAGCTATTGTATCTCACTGTAGTTTTGATTTACATTTTTTTGATAAGCAAGCATTTTTTCATGCCTTTGTATTTTTTTAATAGAATTTTTAATATTTTTTTCCGCGGACACATCATCTTTATTTGTATGTGGTGCTGAGGATCGAACCCAGCGCTGTGCTTATGGCAGGCGAGTGCACTACCACTTGAGCCATATCCCCAGCCCTACCATTCGTATTTCTTTGGAGAAATATCTTCAAATAATTTCTTTTAAAAATTGTTTTTTATTATTTTATTCCTGATTAGTGATATTTTACTTTTTGAATTCCATATGTCTCCTGGGTATTGATCCTTTTTAGGGTGTGTAGCAGATACATTCTCTCCCAGTCTGTGGGTTGTCTCCTCCCTACGGCACCTCGGTTGTTTGTCAATGTTTGCTTTTGCTTCCTATACTTTGAGAGTCTTCAAAAAATTATTGCCTGCTGTAATCCCAGCAACTGAGGGGGCTGAAGCAGGAGGATCCCAAGTTGGAGGTCAGCCCTATCTCAAGAATAAATAAAAGGGCCGAGAATGTAGCTCAGTGGGAGAGTGCCTTTGGATTCAATTCTCAGTACCAAACACACACACACCAAAAAAAAAAAAAGAAGAGGGGCTGGAAGGCAGGTATGTGACATGTGCTAGGCCATGGGTTTAATCTCCAGCACCAAAATACTGAAATTGAGCCACAACATTCCAACTCCTATTCAAAGTAAGCTGGTTACTCAAGGACTTTATTATTATTTATGGTGCATAGGATTAATTGCACCATCCTAGAAGCTACCAACCTCATCCTTTCCTAAATTCACCCCTAAATTGGTCCATCTTAGAATGACAGTGGAAGACCTGAAATGGGAGCATGATCTTTCTGTTGGACTGGAGTAGCCTGGTGCTTACTTTGACCAAGATAAGGATAAGTGTTTCAGACCTACAAACAGATGTACTTAGAGAAAAGAAGCAGAAGCCTTGGTAGCAGCCCAATGTGAACTGTGCTAGCCAGTGATGGCAGGCATTGGTGCCTCTCTTAATTTGTCTACATGGGATACTGAAATATATTCAAAGGTGCTTTTGAGTTAACCAGTTACCTAGTCCAGTTGTAGCTAAGAGGTGGGATTATAGCTCAGTGGTTTAGTACTTGCCTAGCACGTGCGAGGCACTCTGTTCACTTCTCAGCACCACATATAAATAAATAAAGGTCCATTGACAAGTTAAAACAAAAAAACCACCCTTTATTAAATTCGTGCTTGGACCCCTTGAATCCACAGTACTTTGCAGCTATGTTGGTAGTTTATACTCCAAACTGTTCTGCGTGACTGACAAAGGGCCCAGCTGGCTGTGCTGTGAAGCCTCAGCTCTCCCTCTCTGCCCGATTGTGCTTTTTTCTGCCATACTGTTTACTTGTATGACAACCTCACCTAAGTAAAACCTGTGGAGACATTTCAATGACCCAAACATGTGATTGCTGCAGGTGGGAAGTCCTATCACCACTCTGTGCGCTTCAGATACAACTACAGTGCACAGATCCCAAGAGTATCAAGTACCCTTGGACTACCTCCCAGCAGCAGGGCACAGTCCCACACCGCTGCACAGAACCTCATTCACCGTTTTCCCATACAGGCATTTTCCTTCCATGCTGGTCTCCAGGCCACGCTCTCCAATGTTGCTTGCTTGCTTGCTTGCTTTGTTTCTTTCTCTCTTTCTTTCTTTAGCATTACCTTGTTGATTTTTTTTTTTTTTTTAGTTGTCAATAGACCTTCATTTTATTTATTTGCAGTTCTGAGAATCAAACCCAGGGCCTCACACACGCTAGGCAAGTGCTCTACCACTGAGCCACAACCCCAGCCACACCTTGTTGATTTTTTTATATTATAAGAATGCTTATCAGATAATATTATATTTCTTCTGAATATCTAGACAATTTAGGAGCTCAAGGGCAGGCATGCTGGCTTAATTATATCCATATTCACAGTACCTGTTGTCTAGCATGTGCTGTTCAACAGAAATGAAATGTGAGCCATATATGTAATTCTAAATTTTCCAGTGGTCACATTAAAAACAGCAAACATAAGTAGGTGAATTCAAGTTTAAAAGTGCATTTATATCCAAGTGGCTCATATCTATAATCCCAATGATTTGGGAGCCTGACACAGGAGGATCACAAGTTCAAGATCAACCTCAGTAACTTAGCAAGACCCTGTCTCAAAACAAAAAAGGCTGGGGATGTGTGTCAGTGGTTAAGCACACCTTGGTTCAATCCCTGGTACAAAAAAAGACATTTACATTACTTTTTCTTTTTGTCAATACTGAGACTTTGAGTTATGATGTATATTTTATGTGTATCCTAATTTATATTAGCATTTCAAATGCTCAGTAGACATTTTTGGCTACTGGCTACTATATTGTATAACATAGACTAGCATATAAAAGGTGTTATATGAGGGCTGGGGATGTGGCTCAAGCGGTAGCGCGCTCGCCTGGCATGCGTGCAGCCCGGGTTCGATCCTGAGCACCACATACAAAGATGTTGTGCCCACCGATAACTAAAAAATAAATATTAAAAAAAATTCTCTCTCTCTAAAAAAAAGTGTTATATGAGACTCCTCTATCCTTAGGATATAAGAAGTGCTTTTGTGTGTGTGTGTGGTATTAGGGATTGAACCCAGGGCCTTGTGCATGGGAGGCAAGCATTTTACCAACTGAGCTATATCCCCAGCCCTTGTTTTGTTTTTTAGTAAAAAGAAAAATTTAAAGGTTAAATAACTTGTCCAATGAGTGTCGGAACAAGGTTCAAACCCAGTGCTCTTTTGAATTCTCTCAACCTATGCCCCCTCTGTGAACAGATGGAGGAATCGGTAATTAGTAGTAAGCAGCACATTTATAAGGATATTAAATAACTTGTCCAATGAGTGTCGGAACAAGGTTCAAACCCAGTGCTCTTTTGAATTCTCTCAACCTATGCCCCCTCTGTGAACAGATGGAGGAATCGGTAAGTTAATTAGTAGTAAGCAGCACATTTATAAGGATATTAAGCCCTACCATGAATGCCTTGCTATGTGAAGCAGATTTTTTTTTTTTTTAAAGAAAGAATGAGAGAGAGTGAGAGAAGAGAATTTTTTAATATTTTATTTTTTAATTTTTGGCAGACACAACATCTTTGTTTGTGGTGCTGAGGATCGAACCGGGC